GGATATTTAATTAGGTATTTCTGATAAGATAAGCAAATATTAATATAAATATAAATCCTTTTAAGAATTTTTTGTTATTGCTTTTTTTCTAGTACCTACCTACGTTTTTAAGGTAAGTGTTTTTTTTTAAATTTTCTCTCAATCCTAGTATTTAAAGAAAATCAGGGCCTCGTTAATAAATTAAAGTGGGGCTTTGTTATTAAATGAAAATCAAAGTTTATATTTAGCAATTAAATAATACGCGAAAAAAGGAATTCAAGCTATCAAATGTAATCATCTTCTGGAATTTTATTACTTCCTATTATTTCCGGATTCAAGTATGTAAGAAAAATTTGACCTATCTGGTATATAATTTGGTTTCTATTTATTTCCGTATTAGATTTTTCTAAATATTTATCTTAACGAATCCATGATAAAGAAATTTTGCAAATCATGTATTTATGTCATTCTAAAATAATTATACATTTTGCTGGTCATTATCCGATAAGTATATAAACAAATCGGATATAAAAAAAAAAATACAAAATATTTTTAATGTTAAATTCATATAGTCTAAGAGCTGGTGGTCAATCCGAGTATCGTGTTGAAGACAAGGCTGGAAAATTTATAGATTTATTATTTAACAGGTTAAGTACCCATGGGTCAGAGCAGTCCCTACCTAGAATCCAACGGTAACTTTTATATAAAACAAAATATAAAAGATGTCACTATATTGTCCACATACAAAAGAAAATCAAAGTATGTGATATTGTCACTATAGTTTGGATATATTTATAATATATCTGTCACATTGACATCTATTAACCACTATTCAGTTAACTAGACGCCAAAATATTGTCTGCGATAATGGCGGCTCGTGTTACTTTAAAATGGGTGATACATGTTTCCAATAAATTTATCATTTATTTGTAAGTTCGGTTCAAAACTTTGGGTTTGTATTAAGTGTAGTTAATAAGATCTCATTACATACACGTGCGTTTTAATAAGAACACTTAAATTTCTTACTTTATTCAAGTTGCAATCAAATTTTTATCTACGTACGACTTTATGTGGTCTATTTACATAAATTTAGTCAATTGAAAAATATAAAAACTTTTAGCATTAGCGAGAAACCTTTTGGATTAAAAATAAATTGCGTTTTCTTAGAATGTTATGGAAATAAACGTCTTGTCATTTATATCGTCAATTTTTGTAACAAAATGTTGTATTCGAAAATTTTCTCAACTTTACCTACGTAGTGAAAGTGATGGAATTATAAGCACCCCACCGGAGATTTTAGAAAAAGCTCAATCTGCTACACATAATTTTTTACCGCTGAAATCCAAAAAAAGGTTACGAAATTACCTATCGAAAATATATGGATTGGCGACACAAGCATATGTCCTTTATGTAATAGAAGAAAATAAGTGGCGCAGAAAAAGTATAGTACGTTACACGAGTTTTAAGCTCATTAAGCACTCGTAAACTTTTTCACTTCGTGCGTAATGGGTTACTTATAACTCTTGTTACGTAATATACTATTACTGTGTTTTCTTTAAAAATTGAAATACCTGCACTTGTGTCTATAAGAAGGTTAAAAGTATTGGTAGCATCTTTAATGTAATAGAGATTTTTAGAATTTACTGTTAATAAAGGGCTTAATGGAAAGCCTGCACTGGAAAACTCAGATTCGGAACCTTATCGTCCAGATTCATTGTTTGCATTGATTTCAGGATTTCCGAAGAAGTATTCTCTACTTGTTTCGGACTGTTCGGAGGGTGGTTTTGATGGGGAAGCAAGTGAAAATTTTGATATTCTTGAATATTAATAGAATCAAAAGAATTAACAGGATTTTGATCATTATTGATAAAATAATCTTGATTTCCCCTATCATAGAAGTTTTCGTAGTATTGGGGATTTTCGTATGATTGATCATCAAAAGCTACTAAATGAGCTCTTTCTTCATTAAAGGAATAATCTTGGTGTTCTTCGTTATAATATGAGTTTTGGTAATATGAGGGGAGGGGTCTTTAAAAAGTTGATTATCAAAGTTTACAAGATGGGCTCTTTGTTGGTTAGGTGAGTAAATGGCGTTTTTGGGTATTACAGACGGGCGAAATTGCATTTGGTTTTGATTTGGGGTATTCTGAGGTCGCTACTGATTTATCATTTCTAGTATGCTGGGAGGGCCCAGCCATTTGAGTCTGATATGCTGGTCTAGAAAAATGTTGGTTAATATGTTGTGGATAATAGGGACGTTGCGTTTGCTGTGAACGGCATTTATTTGACGTGTGGCCAATTAAAACATTTTGATGTTTGATGAGGGGGTTTTCTCATTGATCATAGACACTGGAATAAAAATCAAAAAATAAATGTTTGTTTAAAATTGGAAATAAATAAACAACATAACGGCAAAAATATTTATGATTAAAATAATAGTTGATGTTTTACGTTGGAGACCTTTTTTGGTAAAAATCGTTGAATTGACACACATACTTCCGATTTATTAAAGTCATAGTTTTATTAATTATTTAAACACAATTTTAAACAAACACAATAAAATTGTCTTTTGAACAAGTATAACGTAGTTTAATTGGAAACCTCAAGATTTACTGAAGTTGAATAACAATTATTTTGCAATATGGCAAATAAACGCACTTCCCTCTCCTCCCCTAAAGGCTACGGGCGAGGAATTTTAATATGTTCACCTCCAAACTAGTCCAAATAAATTAATGAAGTCAAAATTGTGTTCCATGCATTTCCCTTTATACTTTTTTTGAGCATTCATTGCTGAGTGGTATTTTGATTAATTAAAAGTTAATAATTTTATATTTAAATCACGCTATTAAAAAAAAATTTATTCTCATCAAAATTGACTAGCTTGAATTTGACATATGACGTAATAGTGTTATGCAAAAGTGCTGACACTTTCAGCATCGTCATTGCAGCTCCTCTTTATTCTGTATCAATGATTGGAAAGAGTCGTATGCCCCGCCTTAATTTATGACGTCACGCCGTTTTTATGTGCGATATTTAAAATAGCGTGGCCACATTGTTTATTTTACAGATCTGTTGACCTGTCTTTTTAATTTAATTTGGGAAAACCTTTTGTACTCAATCACCATAGTGCATCGACAAAGACGCGACCAACCAGAGCACAGCGGCGTATCCAAAAATAGACATGTATAATTATCATGTATGAAAATAATAAAAATATTAAAATTAAATTTATATTTTTGTTGTGATTTTAAAATATTGTGTTTTTTTTAAAATATAATTTGTGGCGCCTTATTTTCTCAGATTTATTTAATTTTAATTTGGCTCTAAAAAAATATTGTACATAACTCATAAATAAATATTGGTTTTTGATTGAGTGCGTGTGCCACATCGTGAAAAAAACACCTCTTTATTTGCTTGTTATATACAGTGAGCATCATAAGTCTTACTCCCCCTAACTAACTCGTTACTGGGGTCTTGTTAGGAAAATCGCCGAGACAAGTCGATTTTTGATTTCTACAATGTATATTTTTGTATGAATAGTTTATCCTTAATTTCATCCCTTACTGGAGGGTAGCAACCCTTTCGAAAAATTTAAATAGCATGGGGTGGTGAGTGATAGCTCATTTAAAAGGGGGTTTTATTCTCTATTCAACCGTGCAAAAAAGTTTAAAATTTGCTTCATTACGTGTTGATTTATTAATGTTTAAAAATAACAAAACCTCACAAAATAGGAAAGCAACTAGACTAACAGTGACCTTCTAATGGCAAAAAGTCTTACTTCACGTCTGAACCAAAACCGAAATCATGCAGAGCCGAATTTTAATTCTAAGGATGAGTGCGCTACGTTAATTTCCGTTATTCTGAAACAACAATTAGTCGAGAATTAATGAAGCAAATTTCAAATTTTTTTACACGGTTGAATAGAGAATAAAAACCTCTTTCAAATGAGCTATCACTCACCACCCCATGCTTTTTAAATTTTTCGAAAGGGTTGCTCCCCTCCAGTAAGGGATGAAATTAAGGGTAAACTATTCATACAAAAATATACATTGTAGAAATCAAAAATCGACGTGTCTCGGCGATTTTCCTAACAAGACTCCAGTAACGAGTTAGATAGGGGGGTAAGACTTATGGTGCTCACTGTATACTACTATTAGGATTAAGAGTATGGACAGTATTATCTCTTAAACGAATATACCATGTTTATGTTCGGTCGATGTAAGGCTCAAAAAAATGCTTTGAACACAGAACACTGTATTTTGTAGGTTTCCAAGAGCCTTTATTTACAAACTGCAACCAGACATTCTGAAGTGCAGGATCTTTAGGAAATCTGAAAGAAAAACATTTATTATTTGGGCTTTAGTTGTTAGTTAAAATGCATATAACAGTTTCATATATGGTGCCCTGCTTTTTTGTGTTATATGGGAAAAATTAAACTCTTGCATAGCATTAAATGGAATTTCTAAATAATAATAAAATAACAGAAAACCGTAAGTAAATGAAACAATTACTGTAAAATGTTATTAGTTCATGTTTGTGCAGGGCTTGTCTAACTGACGGTCATTATATTAGCAAGTGATAAATCGTTAGACTATTTTTTACTTCTGTTGAGTGGGAAAGAAAGATATGCTGCGGTGTAAGAGCGTTTATGTTGGAATGTGGTTTGGTTTTGGATTGTACTGGTGCCTACGTGATACCTCATGCTCATAAGAAAATATATTTAGCTTGTACTGTATCTAGAGGGAGATCAGATTGTTATTTGTAAGATAGATAATTTGCATTTCTTTAAAAATAAATGAGCTGAACAAGGGCGGTTTTTAAAATGTTATGTTTAATTTAACACGTGGTATCCCTGCCAAGTCATTATTTCCTTATTCAACTCGTATTATATTAAAAATCAACAAATTTACAGCCTTGTATTCAACACATTACTAGGATTGGCAGCTAGCTCTCAGTCTATTACATGTGATTATATCTACTATTTTTGTTTTATATAATCATATAGTTGCTTAAACATTACATGGCAGTATTTCTTGTCGAATATAAATGAAAACAAAACTAATTTACAAATTATTTCTTCCTACAGATTAATTGAATATTGGAATATTACAACAATGGTGCTGTTGCTGATTTTATTAGGTCTAGTTGGTGCATTAGTGTTTTATTATTATGGAATACGACCCATGAGTTATTGGAAAAAAAGAGGAGTGAAACAAACAACTCCAAATTGGTGGTTTGGAGATATGCGAAAAACTACCTTCAGAGAAGAGAATTTTGTTGATTTTTTTCAGAGAATTTATAATATGGAACCAAATTCTAGGTAAGCATAAGTTTTGTTAAATTTATCAAATAATTTTACATCTAACGGTCAAAAAGGCATAAACAATTCTTTACGGAGGACCTAGAACGTAAAAATATATGTGTTATTTAGGTTTAAAGTCCTGCTTGGTCAATTAAATAACCACACCTTATTTTCGAATATAAAACAAAAATCTGAAATAAACATTATTGGTAAATTGAATTCCACGACCGTGGAATACATCCGCCAAATATTCGTATTTATTTTGTCAGAAGTCGTGATTACATCGGCTTTCACCACGTTATGCCACTGTAAGTTTCAGGATCGCATGATAAAATAATAAAAAAAAAGCGGGCGGATACGAGCGCTTGTTATTTTTTGCAAAAATATTAACGTGGAGAAATTAAATTAAAAAGTGGATTTTTAAAATTGTTGTTTGGCTGCATTTGTACTTTGCGTTAGCGGATTTTTTTGAAAATTACATAATAATTAATATTTTTAAAATATGCTTCAAAAACTTAGATGTAGTTGCAACGTATAATCGTGTTAAAATAATTAAACCTTTCTAAGAATTTCAGTCTTATTATAAAAATGTGTTGCTTTATGCTTGGAAAATGTTTCCCTTAAAACTTTAGTAAATGAAAATATATACATTTTTAGAAAGGGAACTAAATATTCTTTCAGAGGATGTTATAAATTATAAAGTGTTCCATTTAATGTAAACTCACAATTTGGAGGTTCGAAAAAGTGTTTTAATTATTTTTCAGAAAAACAAAGTCAATACAGACTTGATATACATAATATATTATGTGAAGTCTAGTGAAAACTGTAAGTCAATATCTGTTCTTTTACATATTAAATTAACATACTGTATATTAAATTAAATCTTTTATTTAATTAACATTGTTTATTTTCATATGCAGGTACCAGAGCTGGACAGAGTACTGCATTAAAGTACTCATAAATACTTCACATAGCTTCGCAGTGCCAGTTTAAGGTACTTTTGCGACTGGTGCTATTTGTAACCGTTGCCCCTACCTACCTATTGTAATTTTATTATAATTTATACATCTGAGATTATTGAATTTGTATATTGTCACGTTAAGCGTGTTTTTATAAAAAGAATGTCACGTTATACGTGTTTTAAATAATTTTGGGACTATCTATGTCCTAGGGGGTTAGACGATAAGGGTCTAAATAGTGTGAGCACTAAATTACTAGACTTGACCTCGTAGCCCTTAACTGTATAAGGGTTCTACTCTTGATATCAGAACCTAATATAAGGGTTCTACTCTTGATATCAGAACCTAATCTAAGGGCTGAAGAAAACACAGTGTTCTCAAAACAAGTATAATGTAATTACAACGATTATATAAAATGTCTTGACATACACAAATATGGGCTCAATGTAATAACAAATACATAAAACGTAGACTTACCAAATCCACTAACATTTGGGGTACATGTCACAGCTCTTGCCTGACTATTAAAACGCAATTATTCAAAATAATAAAAAACGACTTTTAATTTAAACTATGAGGATTATGAGCTGGAGCTGCTACAGGGAATCTCCTACAAGGGGGATCTCCTAGGGGGAGGATCGGCTCCCTATGGAGAAAGCCCTGCGCATCCCCTCGACATTACTTTTATAACCTTTTTCATAGTTTATTTTTATCAAACTAATGTTTAATAATTATTAAATAATCAACCTTGCACATAATTGCTAATCAAAACAAATTGTTGACGTACTTAAACAAAATTTTATGTACAGGATGTTATTTAAATAATTAATTAAAATTGGGAAAAATATAAATTTATACGAAGCGTGACAATATTATGTAAAAAAACAAGATAACACAATCCAAAATTATTAAACTTGTAGATAACATAAAAACATATAACATAAAATGGTCAAAAACAGCTGTAAAACCAATGATAGTACACAAACAAAAATAACATAATTTAGTAGAATATTATTTAACTAACGATTAATTGTACCAATTTAGACCTAATTCTAAAATTCTAAAATTTTAAATAACTTTTAAGTACCTTGATTTTTAGAACAAATGAAAATCGAATTCTGTGCCCAAGTTCAAGAAAAATTTATAATTTAAATTTAGCAAAACTGTAAGAAATAACGAAAGTTGACTTTGAAATAATAATAATAATAATAATAATATTAATAATAATAATAATAATAATAATAATAATAATAATAATAATAATAATAATAATAATAATAATAATAATAATAATAATAATAATAATAATAATAATAATAATAATAATAATAATAATAATAATAATAATAATAATAATAATAATAATAATAATAATAATAATAATAATAATAATAATAATAATAATAATAATAATAATAATAATAATAATAATACTAATAATAATAATAATAATAATAATAATAATAATAATAATAATAATAATAATAATAATAATAATAATAATAATAATAATAATAATAATAATAATAATAATAATAATAATAATAATAATAATAATAATAATAATAATAATAATAATAATAATAATAATAATAATAATAATAATAATAATAATAATAATAATAATAATAATAATAATAATAATAATAATAATAATAATAATAATAATAATAATAATAATAATAATAATAATAATAATAATAATAATAATAATAATAATAATAATAATAATAATAATAATAATAATAATAATAATAATAATAATAATAATAATAATAATAATAATAATAATAATAATAATAATAATAATAATAATAATAATAATAATAATAATAATAATAATAATAATAATAATAATAATAATAATAATAATAATAATAATAATAATAATAATAATAATAATAATGATAATAATAATAATAATAATAATAATAATAATAATAATAATAATAATAATAATAATAATAATAATAATAATAATAATAATAATAACACGAGGCTAATGGCCATAGTAGTCGACGCCGATGACACCAAATAAAAAAAAAAATAATAATAATAATAATAATAATAATAATAAGGTGACTCTCTTAGTCCTTTGTGGTTCATTTTAAGCCTCAATCCATTGTCAAAAGCACTGCAAAAAGCCAATATAGGATACAATTTAAAAATGGGAGAAATAAGTCACATAATTGCACACCTGTTTTATGTAGATGATTTAAAATTATACGCCTCCTCTGAAAAAGATCTAGATAGACTAATTGAGTTAACCAAAAACTTTAGCGGTGACATTAAAATGAAATTTGGCTTTGATAAATGCGCGAAATTAGTAGCACACCGTGGAAAGCCTAGAGAGTTCGAAAACATCGAAATCGAGAACATTAAATACCTAAATAGCGAGAGTTATAAATACCTGGGGTACGAGCAACAACTTGTAATCAATAAGAAAGAGACCAAAAAACATCTTACAGAAACACTCGAAAAAAGAACGAAACAAATACTGCGTACTGAATTAACAGCAAAAAATAAAATTAGGGCAATTAATGCATGGGCAATTCCTACAATGTCATATTCCTTTGGCGTGATCGGGTGGTCAAACACGGGGTTAGAGGCTCTTAATCGATCGATCCGTGTGCAAATGACAAAATATTTAATTCACCATCCAAAAGCTTGTACAGAAAGGCTCTATATTCCATGGAAAATGGGAGGCCGGGGACTATTAGATATAAAGTTACTTTATCAAAAGCAAATAAATAAACAAAAAAAATACTTTCGAGATAAATCCTTAACTTCTACACTTCACCGAGTCGTTACTCAGCTGGATTACTACTCTCCAGTTAAACTCAAAGAAGAAAGCTCAGCACTTCCTGATCTCAACATACGAAAAAGTGAATGGCTGTCGAAGCCCCTTCATGGAAAGTATCCCAATCAACTTCTGCAATCAAAAATTGAATTCTCAACTGAATGGTTGAGAAAGGGATACTTGTTCGGGGAAACTGAGGGATTTTTGGTGGCGATTCAAGACAACGTTATCGCAACACGAAATCATATCCAAATTATCCACGGAGTTCGACTCGATAACGACTTGTGCAGAATGTGTCGTCGCCACTCAGAAACAATAGAGCACATAGTATCGGGATGCACGGTATTAGCGCCTACTGAATACCTAAAGCGTCATAACTTAACGGCCAACATAGTTCATCAGCATCTGGCAGTTATGTGCAATTTTCAAGAAAAAGCTGAACAATATTTTAAGTATGTTCCATTCCCGGTCCTAGAAAGTGATACATACCTTCTGTACTGGGATACGCCAATACAGACCGACAAACCAGTATCCAGCAATAGACCTGACATCGTCTTTGTAAGAAAAAAGGAGAAAGTGGGCTTCTTCATCGACATCACGCACCCCAACGATCATAATCTAGAAAAAGCAGAAAAGGAAAAAAATAATAAATACTTCGAATTGGCCGAAGAATATAAAAGTATACATAAACTAAAAAGTATTACCATAATTCCCATAGTAATTTCAGCTACTGGTCTGGTTTCGAAGAAGTTGGAGTCGTACCTAAAACAAATAAACATCACTGACAAAAATATCTTCACAACAATGCAAAAGTCAGTTTTACTAGAAACTTGTCGAATTGTGAGAAAAACTCTGAACTTACCTGCCAATGAATAAAAGTCGCACAACTCACACTTGAAAAAATTTAAAGCCTGATTAATTGACTGATTCCGTAAGAATCCCAATTTATCAACAACCCTGAGAAGGAGAAAAATAATAATAATAATAATAATAATAATAATAATAATAATAATAATTAGGGGGGTGGGTTGGCTCAGTGGTTAGAGTCATGACTTTGAGATCGGATGGTCTCAGGATCGAATCCCACCGTTGGCCGGAATTTTTTCATTTAATTTAATTATTTAAAATTAATTCTGATGCCTTGGTAGGATTCCCCACTCGACCATTCACTGTTGGGTTCTAATTAACAGTGCTGTTCCTAAAGTGGCGCTGGGAAACAGTAACAAAGCCTACACAGAACACGAGGCCAATGGCCGTCGACGCCGATGACACCAAATTAAAAAATAATAATAATAATAAACTTTATTTGCAACTCCAATTTTTTTATATAGATATAAAACATGAGAAAAAGAAAACATGTGCCAAAGAAGGCTGCAAAAAGGAATGCTGAACAGTAGAGACTGATCAAAGCACCAGCCCTGAAATACTCGTATGTCCAACGCCACAAGACATCGTACAAAAAACAATATATATATATATATATATATATATATATATATATATATATATATATATATATATATATATATATATATATATATATATATAAACAAATATGATTTTTTTTAACAAAATGTGAACATTCTAAAATGTGTGTGGAGAAGAAACAGATATTTCTTTAAAACTTTCTGGGATATCATTGTACAAAGCGTAAATGTTATAGGTGAAAGACCGTCTGAAAATAGCAGTATTATGTATTGAAGGTGAGATACGACCACAAAAACGTCGATTTAGATTATGAACATTAGAAGGATACCTTATTTTATTAAAAAGATATGGAAGGAGATTTATTTAAAATAATAGAATGAAACAGATTTGCCGAGTGTAAGACTCGTCTGGATTTCATATCTAGCCAGTTTGAATCCTTGAGTTTATGTAAGACTCTGTCGAATTTCCGTATTCCATATGAAAATCTTAAACAAGATTTCTGTACTCTCTGAATTCGAGTGAAGTCTACACTATCTAAACAGGACCCATACACTATATCACAAAAGTTAAAATAACTCAGAATCAGGGAATCTGTTAATAATATTTTTGTTGAAGTTGGAAGAATATGTCGATGTGGGTAAAGTATTTTTAGATTCATGTAAGCTGTTTGAATGCACTTGTTAACGTGAAGTCTAAACCTCAAGTCATTATCAATTACTAAACCTTAGTTGCGAGCAGATGAGGAAAATGGTAACTTATTTCCATCAATTAGAATCTGCATTTCATTATGTAGTTGATATCGGTATTTACCAAATAACATTACCACACTTTAAGAAGAATTAATATTAAGTTGATGAATATTTAAAAGTCTAACTAGTCTGTCAAGATCTTAATTAATATGATTACTTGCTTCTAAGACATTATCATTATCAAAAGAAAATTTAATTTTAGTATCATCTGCATAAAAGAATGGCTTACCATTCTTGATGCTATTTCCAAAGTTGGAGGTATATAGTGAAAATAATATAGTCAATTATAGGCGGGTAGTTCACCCAGAAGCGGTTAGCGGGCTGCGAATTTTACATATAAAGCAGGCTTAGTTATCTTTTGCACACAAAGAAGTTTATAAATCGAAAAGTACTATGTAGCATAGTAAATTAACTATATACCATACCTCCAAGGATCGTTGGATGAAGAATTTTAGATGATTTGTAATATAAAGACACCTATGATTTACCACGGTTTGTTATGAATTAACACAAAACTACATTGCATGCTCTTCACATATATATGTAACGATTAAAGTGTTTACTTGGATAGTTTATAGACTAGCTGGATAGTATACAAACTATCCTAATGTCTGGCTATTTTGATGGAAAATATTATTTCTACTTAAATGGTTACGAATATTGGTTGGTTTGATTACCATCCACCTAGTTTAAAAACTATACAAGATTTATAGCCAAAGTACAAATCACAAGAAAAGTACACAATTTAACCGATGTTTTTGGTTAGTTTACAAACTATCCTCAGTATTTGGATATGGTGTAAACTTAATATTCGTAGTAATACATAATAACCAAATCGTCGGTTGGTATGCAAACTGACCAATCCTCTTTGGTTAATTTATTAGAAAAGTGAGGTTAGGTTTATAGTAAGTGTTACGTGTTGTTTATTGGGGTGTTGTTTAAGAGTAAGTACCTACCTATTAAAAATAAATCAACACCATCAATTTAAAAACCTACTCTTGGAAGTGATTATACTGATATAGTGAACTTAGTATTTTTATGTCACTTTTAATTATTTTACTTATTTTTTAATAGTAATAGTAATGATATGTTGTACTTATAAATAAACTTTATTTTTGACTATCCTAAATTAAATTAATCAAAAAGAATTGGTCAGTTTACATACTAACAGACGAGTTGGTTATTATGTGTTACTACGAATATTAGGACCATAATTTATCCAAATATTTCGGATAGTTTGTAAACTAGTCAAAAATAACGGTTGATTTGTGTACTTTTCTTGTGGTTTGCGCTTTAGCCATAAATGTTGTATAGTTTGTAAACTAGCTGGATAATATACAAACCAACCAATATTTATAGCTATTTTAATAGAAATATAATTTTCTATTAAAACAGCCAGCCATTTGGGTAGTTTGTATACTATTCAGCTAGTCTATAAACTAGCCAAGTAGACACTTTAACCGTAAGATATACATAGTCCTTTAGTCAGACGATTTGTTTTTTAGCGGCCATTACCGGCGTGGGTTAAATCCCCGATAGATATTTCAAGTGCTTGGATAAGCCGTTATATATTGATTGGCGGCAGGTTAGAAGTTGACGCATTCGATTCACGCATACATGTTACCAACTATATTGTTTTTGACGAATCACTACTAATCCATATTTAAATCGTGCATTTTTATTGGATATAGTTTATGTCATTACGTATTATAACCACTCTAGTTATTTTCATTTTGTTTGGTTTGTATACCTTGCACTAAATCAATTCTTTTAGGTAAATTCATCAGGGACCGCTATGAACCATTCTTTGATTTTGGTATTAGATATGTGTTAAAGGAATTATGTTAATGGTATTTTTAACTGCGCCCATCAGACATACTGTTAAAATCATAAAAAATATTAACCTGATATGGTAGAAACTGTGAAGGGTACAATAAGTCTAGAGCTTCAGTACGAGTGGGATTTGAACAAAACCATATTCAGATAGTACTTACCATTAATGTATAAGCCCAACTTTTGCATTTTAATGTTACAGTAAAGTAATAAGAGGATGCATTAGGGAGAGTATTATTATTATTAAACAATAAAAAAAATAACATAAAATCCTTTTCTTACCTATCCTCTCAATCAGTATCATTTGGTTATTTGTTATTTAAGTGATTGATAGGTATAGATCGGCAACAAAAACAACAATAGCTAATAATTCTAAGTAATTCTTCAACAGAACTGTTTTTAAAATTTTTGTCACTCAGAGCATTACGCTTTAGAACCTTTCAACCGGTGCGGATGAAGGAAATGGCTGTATTGGTATACATAAAAATATAAAATGTTAAATAATAATAACAAGTATTGCAGATCTGTGAATAAGACAACAAACACAAACTGAGGCTTGAGAAATTTTTCGAGTACTGAGTCCCATCAGGATGAAAGTACTCACGAGTACCAATTATTGAGTACTTTAAGTACTCAAGTACAATTTTGAGTAAAATTTACTCGAGAACTGCCCAGCTCTGGTAGGTACCTTGTTCCAATTTCACTTCAAGTTCAATGTAAATCCTAATAACAACAATGACGAATTGTTATTTTAAAATTATTTTCAAAATTGGAATAATAATATTTTTCTAATGTATATTTAAAAATAAAAAATTGGTATTTGTTATTTTATATTGTTTATTCTGTGATATTATAAATTTAGATGCAAATTCACAACATGAGATAGTATTATTTAGAAAATTATTTATGAAAAAAAAAAAATTCATGAAAACCATCTTGTGATATTAAATATAAAATTTATCTTTACAAAGTATTCTGTAATATAACTTTGAATTCTAAACAATATCTTATTATGATCTTAAATTATAAGTTGTTAAATTGTGTTAATTTATAGTTGACACTTTGTATTTTAATTTACCCTTACGTACTTATCGTTCGCCACGCACTAAATTTAGCAAAGCGTTGCGCAAAATGGCCAACAACAACTGAACTGTTGATATTTTTTTAGATACTTCGGATATTATCAATTTAGTGTACCAACTTTACTGATAAAGGATCCAAAACTGATAAAGCGAATAACTCTTAAAGAATTTGATCACTTTACTGACCATATACAATTTGTACCACCAGAGAGTGATCCTTTATGGGCTAGAAATTTATTATCATTACAAGGTAAGTCTCAGTTAATTATTTACTCAAAAATATTGTTATTTAAGATAGTTTTTACATGCCCAAACGATGTTAATCAATATTTCCAGTAAACCGCGTTTAAAAACAACTAAGGTATTAGTTTTTGTAAAGCCGGGTCTACAATATGCGCATTCGCGTATTCCTCAGTTGCGTATTTCGACTAATCACGTATTTTCGTCTAATCGAGAATACATTGTTTTAAATTGGAGCATTCACATAAATTTGCTTGTCACTTCCCAGTAAAAATCAAAATCCGTGTATGTGAATCAAACAGTAGCAATTAAAGTGCCTAAAATAGACAGGGCTCTCTTAGATCCTAAGAATTGGAACTAAATACGGAATTATAAACAGATGGGTTTCAAGAGACAAAATAATTGCAACTAACAGCTAAGAACAAATTCATGTTTTAGAAGGTAAAAAACCTTTCTTTAAGAGAAGCTTTAAAAAGTGTACCTGTAAACCGAGCAAAACGCAGTGTTGCAATCAGTGTTGCCAGTCTAGTACAATTGTACTAGATCTAGTACAATCTTTGAGAATCTGGTACTCTAGTACACTAGAAGCAAAATCTAGTACTTTTTTCAGCGTATGTTCCATTTGAAGTGTAAAATATATTGTTCAAAAATTACCAGAGAAATTAAAATAGTTGTCAAAAATTGCTACAAAGATGAAATAGTAGACATTTCTCGAGAGATAAAACATTGTTCAAAAATAGCTTGATAGGTAAAAAAGGGTGTTAAAAATTGGTCGAAGGATAAAATAGTATTAGAAATTGCTTGAGGGGTAAAATATTGTTCATAAATTGCTTTAAGGATAAAAATACTGTTAAAAATTTAATGAGAGATAAAAAAAAATTAAAAATTGTTCGAGAGATTAAATACTATTATAAATAAAATCGTGTTCAAAAATTTCTCGAGGTAAATAGTATGAAAAAATGTTAAAACCTTGTTTAAAAATTGCTTGAGGAATAAAATACTGTTGAGAAATAAAATAAAATAAAATTGACTAGAGAGATACTGTTATAAATTTCTCGAGAGGTAAAATTTGGTTTAAAAATTCCTCGAACGATAAAATACTACTAGAAATTACTCGAGAGATAAAATATTGTACAAACATTGCTCGAGAGATAAAAAAAGTTGTTAAAAATCGCTAGAGACATAAAACATTGTCAAAAATTTATCGAGAATTAAAAAATACTAATAAACATTTCTCGAGAGATAAAACATTGTTTAAAAATTGCTAGAAAGATAAAAAAATGTTAATAAAAATTGCTCGAGAGATAAAATAGTGTTCGAAATTGTTAAAATTTTGCTCAAAAATTGCACGAGAGATCAAATATTTTTCAAAAATAGCATGAGAGGTAAAAAGGCTATTTAAAATTGCTCGAGTGATTAAATAGTGTTTAAAATTGTACAAAAATATTGTAAAAACATTGCTCCAGGGATAAAAAAAGTTGTTAAAAATTGTTCGAGAGATAGAATACTGTTTGAAATTTATCGAGAGATAAAATATTGTTTAAAAATTGCTCAAGAGAAAAAGGTTTATAAACTGTTCGAGAGATAAAATAGTATCATAAGTTATTAAAATCTTTTTCAAAAATTGCTCGAGATATAAAATAGTGTCAGAAATTTGTCGAGAGATAAAATATTGTTTAAAATTGTTGTGTTCGTGTTCTCTATAAACCTTTTTTTTTGTTCTTTAATGACCACCCTTAACAATTAGAAAATTTGGTAATTTTATAGAATCTAGTACATTTTTATGTAATCTGGTACATTTTTTAGACAAATCTGGTACATTACAAAAACATATTCTGGCAACACTGGTTGCAATAACAAGTTTTTGTATTTTAAATCGCCAAAAGTGCAATAACAGATGTCACAATGCCGAATCATGCTCAAACCAATAAAAACAACAAAGAGTTAATTTATTTTTGTGCAACATTTTTTTTGAATGTTTCTGTTTACTTTAAGCATTATTTAGGTATGCATTTTTTATTTAACAACTACATAATATGAAAGAATAAAATTTGTTTAATAAATTACCTACAATAGTCCAGTAACTGAAGACCTGAAAATATGCAAAGCTGTCATTAAGTCGGTCCAGATTTCCTTTGTGGCTCAATTCTTAGGTCTTGACGGTTGCTTTCAAGGGTGAAAACTTTTACCAACACTGCTGGGTCGGAAAGGGCTCAAAATGGCCCCTAAAGTCCGAAAAAATGGTTTCCCGCTAATATCTGCCAAAATATACAAATTAGACAATTTTTGTTTAAATAAAAAATGAAGATCTACAAAAATGGTTCCTACCATTTTTTTTCGCAAGACGAATGTTTTTTGCAAATTGTAGATGGCGCCAGCGGTATACCTCTGCTCACTAAATTATGGGGCCTATGAATGGAAATCCGGGCACCAATCGATCTTTCGACAATAATTGGCGGATTCTACGGGATTTTTTCTGTAAAGTAGCGCTTGGGGTATCTCATTTATATTGCCGAATGTTCTGTGTAATTTGCGTTGAAAAATTTAATAGAAAAGTGCAATTTTTTTTTCATGTGGCAGTCTCAAATCCCGGCGCTTTGCCTAATAGTGGGTTACTAGTTTTAGAGTGTGATGAATATTGACCCGAGAAGACCCTTTATATTTTCTGCGTCTTCTGCAAAATTTTCGCCAACTTTTATCGGAACAGTATAGGTTCAGGATTTCAGAAAAATAGGAAAGTTTCTGAAAAATTTCTTTTATTATGAAAAACATGTTAAAAATACGAAATACATAGCAATGCTTATAATTTATAATACATTAAACCATTCAATGTCATCGGAATCATACTTTTCATCGTCTTGCTCTTGCTCTGTTCCTTCTCCTCCTCCACGCTTCCCTTCCCCCTGTTTTTCCAACCCCTGTTTTGCTGTCTCGACAGCTATTTCAATATCCTCCCCTTCAACCCCTTCTGGGTCTCGATCCATCTCTAATTCTTCCGGGAAAATACCTTCATTTTTGTTATAATTAAAACACTGTGTCGACTGACACGAACCACAGACAGGCGAGCATTTCAGTCCGGCTTTCAAACATGAACAATTCTTCTCGCAGCCTGACTTGCACTGACAAAAAATCATCTTCAAGAGTTCCGGAGGAGCCGGATCCCTTTTACACCTAATTTCATTAATTTTTTCGGTAATTTACACTCACTTTGTAAAGCAAATCTTCTAGAAGTGCCGCTAAAAGCTCTGTATCTAAAGGGCTTTCTATTTTATGTTTGATTTAACCTAAAAAAAAAATAACATTAGTAGAAATAATTATATGATAGATATAGCAACAAAAGACTTACCTCAACCCCAAATCTTCGATATACTTTAACTCATTTGTGGTAAATATAGAAAAGAAAAGTAATCATTGTTTATTATTGTACTACTCGAACCCAGAATAGTGAATTTTCTTTAAATATACGAAAGAAATATATAACAACCAACAATAACGACTCCAAAAACAACAGAGATTGTATACCAACAAAAGCAGACGATTAAGTTGAGCGCATGGCGCGTGGGTTATGGTGGAATATCATGGATCTCAGGCGGAGAGCGTAAAAATGGGGGAGATAATTCTAACAAACAGTTAAGAACCACGCTCACATACGGGAATCAATTGATAGAAATGGAAAGGTGAGAATATCAGCTTCACTTCGGTCCGGGTATTAATGTTCAAAAAATGAACAGCGGGGAACAAGAAGTATTTAAAAAAAAAGTCCGGTTTTCCCCGGTGTTATCAATTTTCCCGATTTCTGGAAAATGGAACAACTTTATTAAAAAAAAAATACATTCGAAAAGTAGACACTCTAAGCTTTAAAATGGTGTGCATTGAATAACAATATAATGAAATATGAGTTTTTAATTACTGCTTGTTTCAAAGATTTCTAGAACTCCGAAAACGTATGAAAAATGCAAATAAACAAATCAATTTTGTTTTAAAATGCCAGGAAGATACTGGAAAAAAATTTTTGAGATCATTTGAGACATCTCAAGATCCCATTTAAAACAAAAATGGGATAAATAACTATTAAAAGAAACAAAATATGAATGAATTACTATAAAGTGGTCCAAAAACGTAACTTTGACCCCTTTTTCAATGTTCTTGAGAGGAAATAACGGGCTTCAAGGTACATGGATCGATACCTATGGGTTTTCTCATTGTAATGAACTTTGAATCATCGAAAAATATCAATTTTTGACCGATTTCTGAAACAATTTGTCCACTTTACAAGCTAATCAGCATTGCTATAGAGATAAAGCAGGGGCTGAACGAGGGGACTTTTGATTGCGGTCGAATTCCCGACAAAAATGATAGGAACCATTTTTGTAGATAATGATAAGCTCTTTCTTTTTTATCTAAACAAAAATTCTCTAATTTGCATATTGTGGAAGTTATTGGCGGGAAACCAGTTTTAGGGTCCATTTTGGCCCTTTCCGACGCAGCAGAGTTGGTAAAAGTTTTCGACCTTGGAAGCGACCGCCGAGACCTAAGAGTTGAGCCACAACGGAAATCTGGACCGACTTAATGACAGGTTGGGCCCTTCAGTTACTGGACTACAAGCAAACATATTCAAAAACCTTTGTAGTTTTTTATAAAATGACTAAACATACTTCAGGCGTTTTGTTAAATCAGTGTCGCTCTTTAATAAGACTAAAAGGTGTTAGGCTTTTTATAAACTGCCTAAAAATGTTACTTAAAATATAAAACAAACCATTTCACTCATTTATAAAAAGCCTAAGCATTTTATAAAACGCCTAGTTTTACAACCCGCCTACGACTACATATATATCTCAAACTACAAACCTCTTTATTATATTTTAATTTTTTCATTTAATTGCTAATTAATTTTATTAAAGTTTGCGATGTTACCTATTTCTGACATATAAGCTGTATTTTTAACATCTGTTAACCCTCTTTTTAGAGTTCCAATGATAGATGGCTTATTTTGCGAAAGTGCTCGACAAATTTTATTTAAATTGTTTGGTCCCAAACTCTTTAGATCAGATCCAAAATAGCTTATACTTAGTTTTAGTTATTATTCATGATATTCCCTAATAGATTTCTTACTGTTTATTAGGGTACACCTTCTTTTAAAAATATAAAAAACAGGGAAAAAATGTAATAAAAAAGTCATTAAAAAATCAGATCGAATAAAAGTAATTTTACGCATTCCATTGTATTTCTTAGTAATTCAATTAAACTATTACGTTCTGGTGAGTTGTACATTTATGTTAATATATTTTTGGAAGAAATTCTGGTCCTTCGTTTTTTTATGAAGATATACCTAACTCTACCTGTGCTACAGTCGCTAAACTCCAAGTGTTCGAGGAAAGGCGAGTGCCACCTGTTCATAAATATAAGACAGAAAATGTTTCAATCTTTGAATAAAATTATTTCTAAACAACAATAATTTCAGGACAACAATGGAAAGAAATGAGACCAATTATCAGTCCTTCCTTTACAAGTAACAAAATGAAAACAATGTTTACTTTGATGGATGATTGTGCTAAAAACTTTGTAAACTATTTATTGAACAAAAATCAAGATATTGTCGAGGTAGAGATGAAAAATGTTGCCACTCGTTTCGCGAATGATGTCATAGCAACAACAGCTTTTGGTGTACAAGTTGATTCTCTAGAAGAGCCAAATAACGAGTTTTACAAAATGGGAGCACAAGTAACAGATTTTTCTTCATTAAGAAAAGCACTTCAATTTACTCGTGCCACTGTCTTCCCAGGATCAACTAAAGTAAGTAAAAGGTATGTTTTAATACACGTGAAAAATGTAATATTATAGTACAAATTATACGCTCTACGCAAAAAGTATACACTTGTTCACTGAAATGTGTTGCTATTTCCTAAACAGTTGGTATCTATATCTGTAACTTATGGAGGGCGGGTTACCCCCCACAGCACTTAGGCCTCATTAAGCCCAATGTGCATCCTCCTGAGATGATAGGCACCTCATAGCTCATGAGCCAGCCTACAGATTTAATGTAGTTGACAACGTCGCCAAAAGGTGCTTATCTTATATCGGCCGGTGTTAGTCGATACTCGCCATACACAAATTTTCTAATAAATGAGTGCGCCGACTTATATAAGAAATTCATCAGCTACGTAACAATAGAGTTATCGTATACTTTAGATAAAAACACTTTTTTTTTGATGAGTCATAGTGATTGTAAAGAATTAACCGTTTTATTACAATGTTTGAGACATTCATCACTGGATTTAGATGTAATTAAGAAATCATTAAGTTTATTTCCAAAAGCCTTAGTTGATGCACTACCGGTTTTAAAGTGTTTGCAAAAACGTATGGAGCAAATGGTCAAACCAAATGTAAGACACTCAAATTCGTAAGTTATAATTTTTTTTAAGTACTTTCATGATTTTTTATGTATTGGGATGAGATAAGAGGCATTCTTGAATTTTGTTTTTTGACAAATTTTCCTGTAACTAAACATTCTGGACAGACCTGAGATCTTCCAGTTTGAAATGCGTGAATCTATATATTTGTTAAAGATGAATCATTTCATTTGGGTCTTACAAAATATGAGAACCAAACTAATTTTCTTTAGCAAGCAAACACCTGTTGCATTCTTTAGTACAAGTTTTCTTTTTTTTTTAAATTGAAGTGTGTAGGTTAGTTTTTCCTCCAAGAGAAAACATCCTTTTGTGAAAGCTATTTTGTGTTTTGAAGATTAATTTGAAACCTTTAACATATATCTTAGGACCTTCTTATTATTAGTTAAGTTAGCCCACATGTTTTACAAATTTATTCAGTTTACCAGCAAACTCTCTTACCTTTATTTCTTTCCCTAATAACTCCTTCTCCCATCTCTGTTTTTCTGAATACTTATTGGTTCGTCCTTTGGATTTTGTATTTTTCCTGCTCTTTCTCTGGCCTGGTTTTCTTCAATCGCTATTTAAAAGTAGACGCCTAAAGTTTAAAGACTGACTGAAATTATTGTTTGCTTTTAGTTGGTGCCTTTAAATTAAATGTATGCTAGTTTTTTCAAATGCTTTGTCTGACTTCCATATCTCTACAAGATTCTTTCCAAAATGAAAAATCATCGATATCTGCTTTTTCTATCATATTTTTCACATTTGTGTTTAAAGACGGATATATAAGGTGCTTACGATGCATATATTCTATAGTAGATGTCCGATATACTTTTGTTACATTTGCATTTGTTTCGATGCGTCTATTTCTGTTTCCTCCAAGCCTAGCTTACAGAGGTTCAGCTAAACTTCCCATCACCTTTCAAGTTGGTCTTGCAGCATATATTAATAGCTGTCGGTTTTATTTGATAACGTGACTAGTCACTTAAGTTTTTGGTTCGGAGTTTAAGGTGGGGGACCCAAGCGACAGTATTTCAGATTTTGATCTCGCAGAGAAACTTTGATGTTTTGCCATTATTCAAACCGTCTTGCAAATATTTTCTCAACTTTTTACCATTTCTTCATTGATTGGTTTTTCAAGAGAGATGTTGCTATTAGGATCTACTACCAGAATATCCTGATACTGAATTTGATCCTTACTATTCGAACGTCTGTTCTGGTGAAGATGACGAGTTTAATGTATGTACCGCTTAGATTCTGATTCTGAATCAACTTAAATCTATATTTAATCAATGGCTAATTCATGTGCACATAAAGGGGCATTTTTTTTAAGAGCAGAATTTACCCATACAGTAATAAATCAGTGCTCTTTACGTAACATAAGATCAGAGTTACCAGATATTTATTTGTCTATAATGCAGAATTTACATAGTACCTACATTCTGCTTCCAAAGTTTGCAGTTTATAAGTATGAGATCAGAGTTAACACATAAAGTAGCCTTCTCTGTACATTTTTATTTGGCTTAAATAAGTTACACATAAAATAGTATCTTCTCGACCAACGTTTTACAAAATTTACACATTAAGTAGCATTTTTCGAGTTGCAGTTAACCGAGTTTGCAAAAGTATAAGATCAGAGTTAACACATAAGGTAGCCTTCTCTGTACATTTATCTGGCTTAAATAATTTTCACATAAATAGTATCTTATCAACAAAAGTTTTACAAAATTTACACATTTAGTAGCATTTTTCGGATTGCAGTTAGCTGGGCTTACATAATGTAAGTATTAGATCAGAGTTAACACATAAAGTAGCCTCCTCTGTACAGTTATTTGTTATTTGCAGAATTTACACATAAAGTAGTATCTTCCGCCGAAAAAGTTTTACGAAATGTGCACATAAAGTCGCATTTTTCGCTCTGCATAAGGCTTATATGAATGATGTATCTGCTGCATATTTATATGTCGTCTAAATTAGGAAATTTACAGTAAAGCAGTATCTTCTGCAAGCTAAATATCAAATAAATTTTAAAGAAAACCATTCTCAAACCTGTACTAGTATAAGATCAGAGTTAACACATAAAGTAGCCTTCTCTGTACATCTCTTTGTCTATAATGCAGAATTTACACATAAAGTAGTATCTGCCATCATCAACGTTTTCCGAAATTTGCACATTAAGTAGCATTTTTCGTTTTGCAGACAAATTTTATGAATGATTGCACCGTTAACACATAAAGTAGTATCTTCTGTATATTTATTTGTCGTCTAAATGCAGAAATTTACACATAAAGTAGTATCTTCTGCAAGCTAAAAATCAGTTAATTAAAAAGAAAAACATTATTTTCCTACCTTTGGTCTGAATTCCTTCATTTAATTTTTAATTTATTGTATTTCTTAGACGATTTTCGTTTTTGATAGTTTTTATCAATGTTTTTATAATCGCTGGAATGTGGTCCGGTTTAAACGATGTGAATCATGCGACACAACAATTGGAAATGAGTAATATAGAAAGACCGTGATAGAGAGTAATCTGGAATTTTTAATCTGAACATGTGGGTCAGCGGCGTAACATAGGTATACTACATGGTTATCTTTATTTCCACTAATAAGGATGTGAAGCATAATTCAACATTATAAGCAAAAGGACCATTTTGGTATAAATTAACTAGTTCCGGACCCTTGGAAATGGTTGCAAATTTAAACTTAGTGGTATTTAAACTAGCCGATTATTATTGCAAAGTTTGAAAACTTTTGTAGTTAATGTGAAATGTTTAAAATAGGATGTCTTTACTGACTGGCCTAGTAGGACCATCTCGCGTTCGTGAAACGAAAAAAATGCAGGTCTATTTAAATCAATAAATTGTTTTTCAGATCTCTAAAGTATATATCTTTGAAAACCCATCACGTCAATTTTTCATTGACCTTATTGAAAATAATCTGAAACTTCGAGAAGAAAAGGGAATTGTTCGTCAAGATATGTTACATCTTTTACTAGAAGCTAAAAATGGTCAGAAGAAAAAAGGAGGGCTAGGTAAGTTTTAAAATAATGTATTAGCTCTAATCTACTCGGCTGCCTAAGCACGGTGTCTCTCAGATTGGTGCTACATATATTATTATCTCAGTTTTTACAAGGGCTGCACAATTTGTCAAATGGGTAACGTATATCTATTATATTTCCATTTCAGAACTGCTATTACATTTTGTTAATTTTTTTTTGTTTTTAAAATAATCGCGAAATCAACAAAATTGTGTATTTTTGACAAGGGGATAAGGGATAAGGGATAAGGGGATCTCAGTGATTTTAAAACACAGTATTTTGATATAGATATTCTATGGGCACTTTTTTAGATTTTTATAACAAAAAATAAAGCAACTAAGCTTGTATATGCGCGTGGTATATGTAAAAGAGATGACGAAAAAGAAAAAGAAAGTGTGTAGGTTTACTATTTTTATTATTTTTTAGAAATCACGAATGTTGACATAATTGCAGAAGCTTTAATATTCTTTTTTGCTGGTTTCGAATCAGTATCCACTCTGATAACTTTTACGGCATACGAATTAGCTCTTCATCCAGAAATTCAAGAGAGATTACGAAACGAAATTATCGAAGCTTCCCAAGAATGTAACGGAAAGTGTAACTATGACGCTATCATTCAAATGAAATACTTAGATATGGTTATTTCAGGTAAGTACAACACTAGTTTTATATCAACAAGTTTTACGTGTTTATTTATTTTAAAATAGTAATTCCTAATAACATATACATATTTGAAATAAAAAAAGTATAAAATTAAAAAAAATATATTTTTTAAAAATTTTAAAAATAAAAAAAATATATTTTTTAAAAATTTTAATATATTTGAAATAAAAAAAAAATAATCAAAATTATAGCTACATTTATACATTTGATAAAATTATAAATATTACATTATATTTCTAAACTTTTTGTTGGAAGGTATGGTAGGTCCTTAATTTAAATATACAGTGAGTATCCTTTATAGTTCATTTATTAAAAGCCGAGTGCTATTATATGACTAAATTCTACTGGATGTTATTAGTTCCAACGATTTTAAAAAATGCGACAGGTTTTTAGTTAAATAATTTACATAATTTGTCAGTTCAGGAAAAATATTATTAATTTTTTTATAAGAATCATTATATTCACCAATTTTTGAATCTAAGTTTGACTTAACAAATGCCGCTTTACTTTATTCACGCAAATTCAAACTAAATACTAATACGTCGCATAGAACTATCAGTCATGAAATTTATGACTATCTACGATCCGGTCGTGGTATTCACAGCCATTGGCCAGTGGCTATTACATAATGAACATTCTGTCTCTATTAGAATTATTTACGTGAAAAATATACAAGAGGCAAGTGTTTCAGAATTTTCTTTCAATCTAAAGATCGATAATTTTCTGTTATTATGAGTGGTTTTGGAAGAACTACATTCCGAAGTGGCCGTGGAGAAATGTTTTTCCTGGTTTTAAATTTTTCATACTCTAATTTTCACCCATGCTTTTTCTTTAGAAGGATATTTGTAATTGTGAAATAATGGTTAACCCCTTACACTTAATTAAAATATATGTTTTTATTCTGCTGGAGGCATAGAAATAATATAGAAGACCAATATAAACATAACATTTAAGCAGAAATTGAAACCTACTGTGCATAAAAACGCGTCTCTGCGCCTGACATCGCAAAATAGTGTGTCTAGAAGCTTGCGCAATATGCATGACTTGTCCCTGTAGTGTTGCCAAATATATTAAACATACCTAACAGAAAAGAATTTTAAATTAATTAATTTTTAAATTATATGATTTAAACAGTTTATATCTACGAAATATCGCCACAAAATAACTTATACACATTTAAATAATCAACTAATAATATTTATGTGTAATTACATTCCCAAAAATATATACAAATACCGTATTAATGTCATTAATACCGTATTTTTAATGTTTAATAAGCGATTCACCTACAAATTCAATATTGACCTGGCAATAGCACTAAAATCCGGTGTTTCAAGGCTATATGACGCTGCCCTTACAGGACCGTTTGTAGTTTATTATTTATGCCGCGTTTGAGAATCCACATCGGATGCATTTGAGATGTAGTAAGTAGTAAATCTTTGATCACGTGATTCAGTATACGTAAATGTAATGGGACAGATGTGTCCGATGTGGATAAAAAACGCTCGAGATGTAAAAAATGCATCCGATGTGGATTCTCAAACGCGGCATTAATTACACGATGAAAGTGGCATTTTATTTTTAGTTTTGTGTAGTGTTTAGTCAAATCCTAGGTACAATAAAAGACATTTTTACATTGGCTAATGAAAATGTAATCAATGTATTAGGCAGCTGTTATATTTATTACAAGATTTATGTCTGCAAATCTAAACCTACCTAAGAATTATAATTATGTAAATAGAGAGCTGTATATTTATATACAGGCTGCCCAGCGACGGGGAGACATCGATATCGGTTTTAAGGTATTTTAAAACATAAACCCGATCTCAACAATCTTAGGAACTCTTCTGTCACTCGATATTTTAATCGGTACTTCCTCTTCGCTTTTTGGCTGGCACAACAATTATTTACATTTCTTCATTCCTTACCGCGTTCGAACCAGTAAGGTTTAAAGAAATTTAAAAAAAAACCTACTTTAAAAATAAAGATGTTAATGATTTTCTTATGGATCCCATCTTCAGATCTTGACTTAATGTATATAAAACTGTTTCCTTTTCTAACAAAAATAATCCTAGATATCGGGCAACGTGGTAAAGAATTATCGCTCAACATACATAAAAAAAATATTTCAACGAATTGAGAATATCCTACCATTTTGAAGTATGTTAAAAAAAAATTGTTAATAAAGTGAAAAGTAGGGCATGAACATATATTATAATGTATATAAAATGATAGATAAATCCAGTTTAGAAGGTATTATAAATAAACTGTGGAAATATCGAGAATCTCGATTTTGAATCGGAAAAATATTCTACGCAATTTAGTATGAAAGCTGATCAAAATGAAACACATGAACGACAAACTGTTATTGACAACTTTCTTCAAACGTTTTCTATTTTTCCGAAAACTAACTAGATAGTTCGAAAATCATTTCCTTCGTTAAAACGCCTCTTGTTCCGAAAAAGGTACACGCCTGTCAACATTCATCGTTCATTAAAAAAGTGGTAGATACAAAACGCTTCGTATTGTAAGGCCAAAATATATTTAGAAATCGAAATAGTCATATAAACAAAAAAATCATATGAGTGAGATAACTACCAAATTAATGATTTACAAGTTTATTCCTATTATTTATAAAATAGGTTTGCAATGTGCTGGTGTGGAATGTTATCATCGACTAAAAACTTTAAATCTTTATATTAAATTGATCGAAAACAAACTATAAATTGGTTTAGGTTATATAGAATGTTTCTAGTAAGCAGCAACTAATTTTTATTATGGAACCGAAAGACCCTTTTAAAAAGGTTCAAAATTAAAATAAAATATGTACCAAGTAAATGTAGTAGTATTTTTTAATTTTTTAATTTATATTGAAAATGGTAACATGAAAGGTTTTCTGTCTAACGACTCATAGTCTCGGCTGACAAAATGTAAAAAAATATCGAACATAATATTCCTGGGCCCTATTTTGCACTCCCCAGATTAAATTTAGTTGTAGCAAATGATATTATCAAATAAGATGTCAAATCACAAGCAAAATCTCGTGACTACAGTACTAATGATTGCCTGTTTGGAAAAGTATCTTTGTTTGTAAATATTTATATGCATAGTTATATTTAAATGCGCGAGTGTAATGTTAAGTATAAACAAAATCCGCCCATTATGTATATACGTTTAGTTACCGACCCTAGTAGATAGGCAATTTGTTATTGTTTTAAGTTTTACCGTAGGGAGAGAGAAAATCAATATTAGGATAAATGGTCCAGCTCCTTTCTGGTTACGTAGGTACCTAAAAAGTATTTTAGTTTTTGGTTAAGTAATTAATTATTGTAACAGTGATTTTCTTGTGATAGTACCTAATTTAGATTGTGGATTAAAGTTTTTGTATATAATTTCGCTGTTTAATAATAAACGTAGTCAAAACCGGAGCACGTGGTTTTTCTGGAAAGTATTTTTAAAATCACAAGCAAAATCTCATGACTACTGTACTAATGATTGCCGAAAATTAACTAATTCATATTTTATGCCATATCTTTCTTAATAAGGACTGTCAGAACCATATTTACCTTAACTTGAAATTTTTTTAATCGTTTTTTGTATAGAATCATCTCTAAAAATGTATGATTGAAATATCGTGCGAACTATTTGTTCGATCAATAAAAAAGTTGCACCGGTCCTGTTCGCGCCAGCACCGTTATACGCATGAGCTCCGACACACTATTTTCTCCTTATGGTTTCATTTTTGATATATGGAATCGGCTTTCTATACTATTTCTATGGCTGGAGGGCGTTAAAGTCAAAAGTAATTCAATGAACAGTCATAATGCTGAATTCCTCATAAAGTTAGGAAAACAAAACACAAAAAATATACAAGGTGTTACTACCGAGATATATCTTCCATAAGTCATATCAAGTTATAACAAAACAGAAAAGTCAAAAGTGGCAGAAACGATGCATATATACACCGACAGTTCTAAAACAAAACAAGGTTCAGGATGTGGAATATACTCCAGATCTCTAATCCTAAATATAAAATGAATTGTGATTAATAATGCCAATGTAGTTCAAACGGAGCTCATAGCAGCAAAAGAAGTTACCAGAAATAATATCACTGGAAGGAACATGCTAACCTATACAGATAACAGACTAGCACTACTCTCCCTGGACAGACAACATATTTACTCAACTCAGCTTACCGAAGTATTCATCAAGAATGTGGTCACCCTAAGATGGATCAAAGGTCATACGCTATCAAAAGGTAGCCGTCTTGCTAATTCACCAAGATGTCAACCAGCCAAATACTTTTTGGACCTGGCGCTTCCATTGGACTGACAATATCAATAGTGACAAAACTAATTAAGAAATATTCCCTTAGGAAATGTAAGGAAATATGGAATAAAACAAGATGTTGCAGAGTTATCAGGGACAATCTGCACCTGATTACAGGCATTCTGAATGGTCATTGCCAAGTACGGAAACATTTCTATATCATGGGTCTATTAGAATCCGTACTGTGGGTACGAAGATTTGTGTTCGGCGAATATCGGCTGACACCGGCCGATATAAGAAAAGCACCTCTCACCGACGTTTCCAAATATTTTAGTTCAGAAACATTCATGTACACTATTTAATGACATTGTGACACAAATCAAAAGGTAATATGCATTGTTCAATATTTTAATTTGTGCTATAGACACGCAAACAAGTTAATTGTTCAAATAAAAGTTGTTTGTAATATAATTCTCTATAATTTTTGTCCTATACATAATTTCTCTAACATGGACCGTATTCGAGATATTTGAGAAAATGTGTAAATTTCGAAATTTGAAGAAAACTCAAAAACGGATAAAGAAAAAAACATTAAATTTTAAACTTAAGTTTTATTTCGGCCTGACGTGGAATGATTAGATTTTGGACAAAGTCGGAACATCTGGGGGGTACTTTATGGGGGGCCGTTTTTATATTGTATGGAATATATCTGTTATTTATGTTTGGAGAAAAAAATTGTTCAAATAAAAGTTATTTCTAATATTATTATCTATAATTTTTGTTTTATGTCAACATTTCCTGAAATGGTCCGTATTCGAGAAATTTGACAAAATGTGCAAAATTCTGATTTTTATGAAAATTGTTGAAATAAAAGTTGTTTGCGATATCGATCTCTATAATTTTTGTTTATACATGATTTTTCTAAAATGGACCGTAATGGAAAAATTGTAGGAAAAGTGCTAAATTTAAATTTTTCAGTATTTTCATTTTCAATGAATATCTATAGAAAAATGTTTCGAGGTAGATGTATGTGGAAAATGTATGTATTTATTTTATCCTCTAAACATTTATGGAGGTGCTGCAATAGGTTGTACAAAATAACCGGAAAAAGCCTGTAATAACTAGATAGGAAAGTCATGTGTTGGACACATCAGATTTTTTTTAAAGGCAATGCCATATATTTTATTTTAGCATAAAATTCCCTATAAATTTACCTAATAACACATACAAAGGATGTTCCATCAGTGCGTAATTAATCGATAGCTGTTTTATTATTGAAAATACGAAAACAAAAATTATTGTAAAAGTTGTATGATCACATTTACCAATTATTCTTAAATATACAGGGCAGGGCGGACCATAGAAGACAGGCTGACCGTGTAGAATTTGTTCTCTTCTTTAATTTTCTTGTAAAGTTCTTTCGTATTGTTCTTACTTCCTTCTTGTTTAATTATTTTCATTTTATTGTCTATCCACCCTCTTTCACTTTCTCTTATAAGTTTTTTGGTTTGTTTTCTCAGTTCTTCATAGGCTATTTTATCTTCTATTTTATTTGTTTCCAGCCACTTGATTCTTGCTTGTACCTGTTTTGTTGTTGCTTCACTACATTTTTCATTGTATCATTCTTTTCTTATTTTTTTCTGTGCAACCCCAATATTTTCTTCAGCTTCTGTGCTTTCTCTAGTGGCTTTCATTCTGCTTCTGTCATTTTCTTCAGGTTTATTGCTTAATATTGATTTTACTTTTTCTGTATATTTATTTTTTTTTTTTTTCGTTGCTTAGTTGATTTACATCCCATTTCTGCTGCACTGAATTAGGTTTTGTTAGCTCTTTTGACATTTTGTTTTAAGGTAGCAGTGACCATGTAATAATCGGAATCTTCACATCTTTTATTATCGAATATTTTCTTTTTGTGATCTATTTTGTTCTATGTTTTTTTCTTTATGTAATATCTAATTCACTGTATGCATTTTGGGATGTTAAAATTTTGTATAGCTTATAATCATATTTGTCTGTGCTACTTTCTCTATATGATTTTCTTTGCCAATGTTTGCATCAAAATCTCCAAGCACTATCATTACATCTTCCTTTGGCATATTTTATATTTCTACTTTATCGTAGAAAGATTCTTTCTCCTCTGGCTTGGTTTTCTCCATATATATCAAGCAATGATATATTGAATGATTTTGCTTTTACTCTTAGGTAGGTTATTCTTTCATTTATTAGGTTACATTCTATTGTTCTTCTTGTAGTTCGTCTAGCATCATAAATCCCACCCTGTCATACTTACCTGTTTTTCGTTCCCAGAATAATTTAAAGTATAGCCTTTTTCCTCATTTATTTCTTTGCTTTCCCATCCTATTTACTGAATTGCTTGTAACACATATGCCATATCTATTGAGTTCTTTTCGTATTTCTTGAATTTTCCAGGTTCTAACATTGTTCTAATATTCCAGGTACTTATTCTCAATTCACTTCTGCTTTTCTTTTATTTTTCTTTTTTTTTCTCAATCTTTTTTCATTTAGAATTCTCTGCTTTGTTTCTGGACTTGTCCAGTTCTTCGCTAACGATTAACAGTCACACTTGATGACATACTCTTGTTCCATTTTATAATTTGACTACGTTCACGAAGGTAATCCTTTAACCAATCGAAATATCTATCTTTAGTTCCGTAACAATGTAATTTTTTTGTTAGAATTTCCCAATCAAGCGTCTCAAAAGATCTTTTGAGATCTAAGAATATCCAATAGAGTCTCGTGACCAAAATATTGGGGGTCCACAATGATTAAATATAGGCCTTTGTACACATTTAAGTAAAACATTTTCAATGTTACAGAAAGATATATTATAAATACTTTTTTCTAAATCTGTATTAAGATCTATATTCTGTCATTGTGAACCCCCAATATGTTGGTTACAAGCTGCCACTGAATATAAGTAAAGTACCTTTTTATTTATCCATTTGTTAATAATATTATAATAGTAATAATATTCTCCCTAAGTCACCCCCATACGAGTGAATTCCAACTCCTGAAACTGACTGAACGACTTGTGTAAGGGAAGGGACAACTATTCTTATTATTTGCCGTGGTTAAAGATGATTGATGACGCCATTTGAAGAAAACTCCCATCATCGAAACGGCAACGCATAGCGATTTTTATGATCTGGATGTCATATCAACAGAAATTAAATCTCTACTAATATGGCATATATCAAATCCTATAGATAACCGTGCATATAAATTCACATGGTCTTCTGTAGAATTCGAATCCCGGTGTTTCTGTCACAAAATTGCTCGTAAATGAATGCGAGCACTGCAGACACCCCCGCTACCGTTCCGACACTCCATTCACAAGAATGTTTTTCCCTAATTCTCGATTGATTTATAAACATTATATTACTTGTGTTAAAATATTCAATACACAATTTACAGTAATTTTTCAGCACTTGGTAAACTGTTTATAGGCCGAAATTCATAGTTTTTGGTTGTTTTAGTGATTTTTTCTATGGTGTGACGGTACTAGTTTTTAACTAATGAGGAATATGTCAAATGACTAAAAATGATTCTTCTAAAAATTTTCTACCTAATCACAGATCCTTTGTTATTTAATTCAGAAATAATTTCTTTTAGTTTATGCAAATCTAATAATTTAAAATATTCCAATGATGTTATCAATACTGTTTACAAGATATATTTTCTATTGAGATAAAACTGTTTTTAAATAGGAATCTAGTTAAATTTTATATATTTTCAATATGTGTAATATTCTATTCTAGATCGTAGCAAGATTATTCAATCAAAATATGTTTTCGTCTGTGAGTTAAAATAACATAAGAGAGAGATAGAAAAAAGATATTAGAGTTAAATGAGATCAAGTTTAAAATAAACCACATCACAGTGAATCAAAATGCGACACTTTCTTGGTTTATCTCAAAAAGCTCTTTCTTAAATTTGATGTTTTATTGTATCCACTTTTGATAAATGCAATGGTGAAATAATTTGAATTTGAATTTTTTGTATTTATAACAAAATTATTTTAATTATTTCTATTTCAGAAAGTTTAAGAAAATGGACAAACTTTCCAAATACTAATCGTGTTTGTACCAAAGACTTCGTCATTGAACCAGAATTACCAGGTGAAAAACGTGTAGTAATTGAGAAGGGAACTCATCTAGAATTGCCAATACTTGCATTGCATTATGATCCTAAATACTTCTCAAATCCTGAACGTTTCGACCCAGAAAGATTCAGCGATGAAAATAAGGACAAAATTGATCCCTATACGTTCTTTCCGTTTGGACTGGGCCCAAGGCTTTGTATAGGTTCAAGGTTTGCATTAATGGAAGTTAAGGTCTTACTTGCTCATCTGTTATCAAGCTTCGAAATAATACCTATTAAGAAAACGCAGATCCCTATGAAATTATCAAAAAAAAGTTTCAGTGTTGATCCTGCAGATGGAGTGTACTTAGGATTCAAAAGGTTAAGGTTATAAGTAGACTATAAAAATTTATTATATTGTTGAAACATTTGTTAATAAAGTTCCAATAATTAATGATAAATCTCTAGTATTTTTATTTATGATATGAATGGTGAATTTAGTTTTTTAAATATTATCGACAAATTTACCATTTTTGTAAAATAAACAAAACAAAAACACATACTCGCATTTCATATTTTCATAACATAAATAGGTAACAAATGTACAAGAGTAACGACGTGTGCCTGTAATCGGTCTTGTTCCTATTGTAATATATTATTATATCATATTAAATGTGCAATTATTGTACAAAATACATATCAGTATCAGTGAAACAAATTATTTAAAACCGTGATTACGTCACGGCTTAAAATAACTGACATGGGCGTAGGCAAGAATTAGTCCAGGGGGGGAGCAGGACAACATAATTTGCAAGTAATATATATACACTTATTCTTGTACTATAGAAAGAGTGCTTGAAGACTATGGTGGACCGGATTTAATTTGCATATACAGAGATCTAGTAAACCGTAAGATATACATTGTCGGTTAAATAAGGAAAAAGTTTTGCATTTTGACGGATAATACAATGGTCCATAGAAGTTCCAGTTTTTTTGACTGGTTCCGGAGATATTCGATAAAATCCGAAAAACCTTATTTTCGTTTTTTAAGTCGTGCGTTATTATAAAAGATACAAAAAAAAATTATACGAGGTTTTTGTTATAAATTAAGTTCCCTACAATCTGCCATGTCAAAATTTTTATTACGACGTTTCGTATTTACCTTCAACTTATTTTTTTAAATACGGACCTGGATTTTTTACTGTAATATTTTATAGCTTTTGTATAGCTAAATACAACGATATGTTATACTTTACCATTTTACTACGTTTCGTCTATGAAAATATCATCAGCTATGTAGCTTCTGATGATACAGTTTCTTACTTGATTAAAACAAGATAGCTAATTAAATAATAATTAAAGAACAAAAAAATGCTTAAAATGTGAAATTTTAAATATTATTTGAAACATGATACAAGAATTATTTAATTACAAAATGGGTTACAATTTTTTATCAAACATGATTAAGTACAACCAGCAAACAAGACTAATGAAGAACGAAAAGCTAATAACAAAAACAAAATTCAACAATAAAAACAGTCACAATAGTTGCTCAAACTGTAGTCCATTCTGTTGGATACAGAGTGCAATTCTCCTAGACATTTGGGATGTAGTTTTATCAACCATTTCTGGTGTAATTTTTTCAAATGCATCCACTATTCGTTGACGAAGTTCTTGTAGATTATTTGGCATATTTTTGTCATAGATTTGGTTCTTTACGAAGCCCCATACAAAATAATCCTTGGGGTTAAGACACGGAGATCGAGGAGGCCATCTTATTGGTCCATTGGTACCAATCCAATTACCTCTAAAATATTGATCGAGATACTCTGCAACCCTCCTAGCATTGTGTGCACCACAACCGTCTTGCATAAAGTATTGAAGATTTTGTCTTGTTTGTAAGGACATCTCATCGAGTACTTCCTCCAAAAAATGTAGGTATCGGAACTGATTTAAATTACCATCCAAAAAAATCGGCCCAATAATCTGATTATTGATTAGTCCACACCACAAATTTTGGGTAAAACGGAACTGTGGTCTAACTTCTCTGATTAAATGGGGATTAGAAGTAGCATACAAATGCTTGTTCCTGGGATTAAATATTCCACTATTAGTAAAGGAGCATTCATCCGTCCATAATATCTTTTTGTTGAAAGAACGGTCATTGCGCAGTTTTCTACTATACCAACGACAAAACATCAGTCTTCTATCAGAGTCTCCAGCGTGTAATTTCTGGACTTTTTGAAATTTATACCCGTGGTATTTATGTTTCTTTAAAATTATTTTAACCGTGGAGGTTCCTACTACACATTCTTTAGTTATTCGCCTAGTAGAATTTTCAGGGTTAATATGTATTTGTGCAAGAACATTAATTACATAATTTTGTTAAGATCTTATGTATGCAAAAATGAAAACATTAAAGATAGAAAAAATAGGTGGGAGAAACCTAAGCGAAAGATTTTACAGAAAATCAGGTGATAGGAATTTATAGATTGCTTGACCGTTTTGTTTTTCATTTTATGTTTTTGTTATTAGCTTTATAATTTGTAGAATATGTACAACCATAATTCGTTCTTTAATACTCTTGTTTTCTGGTTGTAGTTAATCATGTTTGATAAAAAATTGTAACCCATTTTGTAATTATATAATTCTTGTATTATGTTTCAAATAATATTTAAAATTAGGTTTTTCGGATTTTATCGAATATCTCCGGAACCAGTCAGAAAATCTGGAACTTCTATAGACCATTGTATTATCCGTCAAAATACGAAACTTTTTCCCCATTTAACTGACAATGTATATCTTACGGTTTGCGAGATCTCTGTATACGCAAATTAAATCCGGTCCACCCTGTATAAATAGTCCTAATGTTTATTGAATAATAACAATAACATAATTTTTTATACTTTTTACTCATTTATTTTGATTTAATAAGAAAATATTTTCAAATAAAATGTATTAAGATATTTTAATTAATGTTGCTCGTTGTGAAAAATATTACCAATATTGGAAAATTTTTGCCTAATTAAAAAAAAAATAATTTTTTTTTATAAAAAAATATTATTTTATTTAAAAGTGACATTAACTTCAAAAGCTTATCCTCTCCAGAACTGTTAGTTCCTTAATTTTCCCATGAACTAAATTTCTGTGAATGCTCATCATGCACAATCTTAAAACAAGGAAATGCAAAGGTATTGGTATTGTATATCAAAAAATAAAATAATTCAGTCATGCCATTGAGCCGATCCTCAGATATTGTTGAACGTAACACGTTTTGAACTCTCCTCAAAGTGCTGAAGAACCTTTTAATAGTGGCCGTGGATAATGGCAAGGTAAGCAGTATTTCTAATGCTTCCCGAATTCTTGGGAAAAAACTGTTGGTCTCTTGAATGATTTCAACTAAATCGTATTCTTCTTTAGTATCTTTTTCCAGCCATATCTTGTACTACTCTGTATCCCATTTAAATTGTATAATTCTTCAAAACTATTTAAATTAGTTTTAAACTATTTGAGACTGATGCTTCGCATTTGAAATGTATGTAGGACCAATAATGAAAATGATGGTGTGTTTTCTTCCGCAAACTGTTATTCTAAAGAGGCCCTTAGAGAATCCAAATAAGGTAAGTACAGGGAGCGTTTGAAATATTCAGTTAAAGATGAAGCTGGAGGATTGGATCGATGCAGTTGTTTTCTAAAGACTCTTGGATGTCGCAGCTCTACACCAACATCATCGGCAATTTTCTCGGCTTGGCAAGTTCATTGATGCCCTCTTCCGCAGATGTCCGAATAACTCATGAACCGATTCAAAGAAAAACACCAAATTTTAAACTTAAGATTTATCCAGTCGTCCAATGACTTAAAAAGTAACATACTAAAATTTAAACAAATTCTGATAATACCCAAAATCAATACAAAAGTGCAGGGTCTTTTAACTAGACAGGCTGTGATGAGCAACCAATACAAAATTGTAAGTTTCTTTTAACAGTGATGTGACCTTTATATTAAAATGGTTCTATTGTGGAAGCTAGAGCTTACTTATAGGAATTATGGTGTAGTAAACGATTTGACGGACCAAACCATTAAAAGTACCATAAATGCCGATTTTCACTCGGCTCCGCTCTCGCCACGCTCCACTCAAGGCGCGATGCAATATTGTGAGACGCTATTTAAATAGAAATATTTATATTTGGCGTTTTGCTCACGGTACGCTCACGATCTTTGACCGCCAGTCTTTCTCCGTGCGGATATTTTGATCGAACCGCCCAGAAAGCAGAAATAGCTCTATTGGACGTCCATTTGATATACAATTTTGCATGTCTGGATGTTCAAAAATGAGTTTTTTCTGGACGTCCGACGTCCAATGGAAGTCCAGCAAAGTATACAAATGGCACACTTTTGACCATTCATTGGACGTACAATTCTGGATTATATTTGGACGTTAAATACTGGACATTAAAAAAACGTCGATTTCTGGATTATAATTCATTGAGACTACATCCTTACTTTTTTTACACGACCGCAACTCACCACACACTATTTTGTAATATTAATAATTTATTTATTATTTTCGCAACCCGCTATACACCATTTATTCATTTTTTTTTTATTAAAAATTACTTGACTTAAGCATAGAGCAGGGATCGAACTCACGACACGTCTATTGTCGTTCTGGGCATTCAAGCGCTAGGCGACCTCGATCAAGGAGCCACTTGAAAAATTCTTACTAGATACGGTTACAATAGAATAAGATTACAAACTTCCGCTGATAGAATAAAATGTAGATTCAATTTATCAATTTTTAATGACCAAATAATGGATGCCTCCCATGCCTGACTAGCCAAGTATGGACCGCGTTTGGCCGGTAAGAATGCTTTCCATGTCAATAAAGCCAAATATGAACCGCATGCAGTTTTTACTTCCAAATTATGTCAAATGGTACGGGAAGATCCCGGTTCAGAAGCAACCCTGACAACGTCAATCTGAATACTTGCCTTTTCGTACATGCCGGTTTTAAGCCGACTATTTCTGGTTTACTGGGTATATTTTATTAGTAAAGTCCTTTAAGTTGTCTTGCTCTTGGTTGTGTTTATTGCTTGTAAGAGACCATCTCATCTGCTTTTAAATGTAGGGTGGACGAAGGTGCAATTAATTTTACCATAATCCTTTAATTTTAGGTTAGGTGCAGTCCATTTCTTCTGAAAAAATTGTATTTGAAATCAACAAAATTATAGCTCACTCCAGGCATGCTAAAATTTTTTCAGGGCATAAACAAAATGTGGTCCCAATACAACGAAAAATTAATGCATCCTGGGACATGTCCATCTAGCAGACCAAATGTGACGTTATTGAATAATAATGAATCATACAATAATTTACTCTTTGATGTTATTGACTCACTATTTCTGACATTTTTATATTGTTCTTTGATACGTGTTGCTAGTGTTGCCAATTTGGAAATATT